AGCTCAAACGAAGAACATCGACATTTCAACACAATATGCAGTTTCAAGAGTTTACTCTTTGTATTATGAGTTTTTTTTTTGAAAATATTCGTATTATGATGTGATGCTGCAAGTGACCGTAATTTGCATAATTACTTCTGCCTTACAGTGCCTTTGCAAAAATTACTGGCATATATATCGTATTTTTTTGAAAAAAAAAGTATTCAGCTACTGCATCATATTTATTTCACAGTGGTTCCCATGGTTTTTTTTTTGAAAAAAGTATTCAGCTATTGCAGCATATTTATTTCTGTTGCGAAGTTTAATTATTGTGTCGCTTCTCATGGAAAATGAAACTTGATCGATCTAGACATGAATGGATTTTCTGAAAGCTGATATTTTATTAGAGCACCCGCAATGGTAAAGTAAGGTGCTATCTATAAAACATGTACATCTCAGCAATAGACTATATTAATAGTAAATCACTTTAATAGTATGTCTACATGAGTATCTATAGCTCTCTAATCTATTGCCACGTTTTTCTCTATAGACTATCTCCAGGTTAGTAGATAGCTTTGCTCTCTCTCTTCATTTAATCTCTTCCAAGTAGAAAAATATGCTGACATGGATATCTTGTAGAGAGCCTATAGATAACCATTGCGGCGATCCGCAATGGTTATCTATAGCTCTCTACAAGAGTTCCATATCAGCATATCTTCTTACTTGGAAGAGATGAGATTAAATGAAGAGAGAGAGCAAAACTATCTACTAACCTGGAGATAGTCTATAGAGAAAAACGAGACAATGTATTAGAGAGCTATAGATACCCATGTAGACATACTATTGAGATGATTTACTATTAATCTAGTCTATTATTGAAATGTACATGTTTTATATATAGCACATAACTTTACTATTGCGGATACTCTTATAATTTCTAAATAACTCTTTGTCAGTATTAATTAATTCACTAGTAGTTGCTTGTTGAGCACTCATAATTAAGTAGGACGAGATGATCGAAGCGGCCGAGTTCAGATTTCAGAGTTACTAGTTTGATACCAACAGGTTCGCTTTCCCATGCATGTCATGAGAGGCAAATTTAGTTTTCTCTATCCTTTTTTTACAAAAATTTCACAGTGCCTTTGCTTTTGTTTTTTTGAAAAGGACACTGCCTTTGCAGTTAAAAAATTTGGTAAGTAGATCAGCCAGTGCAATGTAAAATTACTCCCTTCGTACTCATAAAGAAAGTCGTTTAGAACAATGTTTAAGTCAAACCTTATAAATATAAATCATGAATAACTCTTAAGTTGTTAAGTTTAAAAATGTAAAAATTATATAAATAGATTTGTCTTGAAAAATACTTTCATAAAAATATACGTATATCACTTTTCAATAAATATTTTTATAGAAATAAAAAATCAAAGTTGTGTTTTGGAGACCGTATCACTATCCAAAGCGACTTCCTTTACTAGTACGGAGTACTTGAGTAGACTGACAGTTTTTCTTCCTTTTGCCAAACAGGGTAAAAGCAGTTAATTTTAACCATAGAGTATGATCAATTCTCTATTTAAATTTATATAAAAATATACAAATATAACTCATGCTTAAAGTATTTGTAGTAAAAGAAGTCAACAAATTAAATGATATTCACATATATTTATTTAATAGCACAAAATGTTAAAGTCAGTGGCATTAAATATTTGTGACCGAAGGAGTACATGCTACTGCATTACATATCTATGTTAAATCGTTATCATTTAATCCCTCCATTCTAAAATATAAGACACAATCAATTTTTTCATGTCTCATAATGCAAGGCGCGCATGCATAATATACAATTAAACTAGCACCTCCCTGTTCTTTTATTTTTTTTTCAAATTGTCTACCTCAATATCTTTATTCTTATTGCTTGTATGACTGCATTGATTGCAGTGAACCTGTCTGTGTTTTACAAGTAACTGTGATTTATATTTTGGGATTGAGGAAGTATATAAAGGGCAATGTGGATTATCTTAGAAATGCGTGCTAGCGATTGGCCGTAGCATTCAGACATCACAGATGCATATACTAGCAAAGTAGGGATTCCTTTTCTAGACCCGCAAATCTAGGCTGAAGACATCATTTGTTGAGTAGTTAATCACACAGCCATTGTCATCAACCCTTTCTTCTTTAGATCCAGTTAGTAGTTAAGGTCTTATTTTATGTGTTTGAAGCTTGATTTAGAAATCAACCAACTAATCAGATGACACTACATGAGGTTATATGGCTTGGATTTTTCTCTAATCCCTGTTGGCAAATTGGAGAGAAAAAAAAAGGAAATCCATATTTGACTTTACAAGCTATGGCTAGGTGAAGAATTAATATCTTAATTGGGTGTAAACCTCATCAGAGACCATGCCTTCTGGCACATGACTGCCAGATCGGGTAGCAGCAATGCCAATTAAACAAACAAAAATTATCAGTGCATTGTGCTTGGGAACAGGTGTCCTGCAGAGAGAAGAAGATGCCAATAGATTATTTATTTGTTTGGGTTTTGATGCCATAACTGTAATCTCACACTAGATATGGCAACTAGTTGATCTAATCTTGTTTAATGCATCAATTTGACAAGTTGGGCAAAGGGTTGGTATAAAAAAGAAATCTTTTTTTTTAATGTTGGGGAGGGGAGTTGTCTCATCTGAACTGAAATGTTAAATATTCATAGGTTTTGGCAAATATATATATGCAAAAAGAAAGAAAGTTAGGTCGTTAATTTCTAAAGAAAAATTGCATGTTCTGCTGGTTAATAGCTGTGGTTGATGTGTACGGGTAATGAGACTTGTTTTTGTTCAGTGATAGATCCAGAACATTTTTAAATATTAGCAATTTTTGCTACAAGTTTTATTTACTGCGAAATTCTATCTTCAATACTTTCAAGAAGACAGAGATTTCATGGAGATTTTGCCAATAACCTCGAATGGTCGGGTGCCCAGGCGATGAATATCCGCCAATACATGTGTGATGTCTTTATGATAGGAAGAGATAACTAACAATGATAAATGAGTAGAATCTACTCTCTCTCTCTCTCTCTCTACATTTTATCTCGATAGCGAAACCAAAGACAGCAATTGCTGGACGGCGAAGTGTAAAGGGTGACGAAACCAGGGATGACGTAATTTCAGTTTTCAAATGGTCCGTCGTGCCACATTCGCAATTAATTCCAAGTGTCCCCTCCTCCAAAAACAAACAAAATAAAAATCTCTATCTGAATACTGGACCAAAAGGAACAAAAAATAAAGGCATTAAAAAAAAGGAGATGAGAAATTATTCATCACCAAAATGGGGACAGGCACATGGTGCGAGCCAAACCCCATCCACAGCGTCGTTTACTCGGATCAGACTCGCTTTCTCCACGTCCACACGCGTACACCATCAATGCCCAACACAAGGACAGCGACATCGCTTCCCGTACTGTCATTTGTAATTAACACGCGATTAATTAGCATAACCAAAGTCATTACGAGAGTGCTTACTGAGTAGGAGTAATCCATAAAGGCTGGGTTCGTTCCTAGGGTTCCCAACTACTCCCTCCGTCCCATAAAAAAACAAATCTAGAACCGGATGTAACATATTCTAATACTGTGAATCTGGACGAATATATGTCTAGATTCATTGTAATAGGATATGTTACATCCAGTATTAGCTTGTTTTTTAATAGGATGGAGGAAGTACTCTGCAGTGCATGTGAAACGAAACTATCAATTAACGCATGATTAATTAAGTATTAGCTAACTTTTTTAAAAAATAAATCAATATAATTTTTTAAAACAATTTTTGTATTTTTTTTTTACAAATAACGCATCGTTAAGTAATTTAAAAAGCTTACGCGCGGAAAATAAAAGAGATTAGTTGGAAAAACAGAGTAACAAACTCAACCACTTATGGTGGAATCAGAATTAAGTCATAACCATCATATATGTATTCTTTCTACCCATCAACAGCAGTAAGACGTTTCTTATAACCTCATCAATTTCAAGATATATCGCTTTAATATTTTGTAGATTGCTTATTAGAACAGACGCACATTTATATGAATTAGTGTACGCGTTTGTGGTGTGTTTGACGAAAAGGTTACTAAGGGGGTGTTTAGATCCAGGATGTAAAGGTTTGGTATGTCACATCAGATATTATATAGGGTGTCGTATAGAGTGTTTGGCACTAATAATAAAACTAATTACAGAATCCGTCAGTAAACCACAAGAAGAATTTATTAAGCCTAATTAATTTATCATTAGTAAATGTTTACTGTAGCACGATGTTATCAAATCATGGAGCAATTAGGCTCAAAAGATCCGTTTCGCAAATTAGTCGCAATCCGTGCAATTATTTTTTTAAAACTATATTTAATACTTTATGCAAGTGTTTAGACGTTTGATGTGACATGATGTAAAATTTTTAGGTGGGATTTAACTGCCTCATCGTTTGGCCTTTTTCGTAATAAGCCAAAACGGCTTATTAGAGAATAAAAATAAATTTGTAGGTAAAACTTTTATATATGTGTTATCGGTGACTTAAATGTCAATGCTGAAAAAGAAACTACGTTGAAAATATCTCAAAATCAATATTAAAATTAAGTTTGAAAATTTAAATTTTGGTTTTTTCTTTTAGCTGAATAGGCCATCCGATGGGTGCCTAAACTAAGGCCTAGCAGATCAAATACACAACAGAAGTAGTAGCGTGCGTAGCAGTAATTAACATGTGATCGCCACATTAAAAAAACGAAGCGATAATAATCAGTGGTGGCCGGAGGCATCAATCGGCCGGGCTCGCGCACGCGCACGTTGTCCTCGCGTGCCTGGCTCGGCGGGCCCACCCGCGGTTGAATTCCCGCACGTTTTCCGCCTGGTCGCCACGCGGTCCCGGAGACCAGACGCGTCCGTGTCCAGGTGTGGGTGTGCGCGTCCCCCCCCGTGGGCCCCACCTGCCAGCCTCACCCCTCTCCCAGTATATATTGGCTCGGCGACTCGGAGAGAGACAAGTGAGCTCGGAGTCGGAGAGAGACACAAGCCAACCTCGAACTCGAAGCAGAGCAAACGCGAAGCAGAGCAAGCGCCATGGACGCCGAGATGGCCATGGGCGAGAGCTTCGCCTACTACTGGGAGACGCAGCGCTACCTTGAGTCCGAGGAGCTCGACAGGTGCGCCTCCGCCTCGCCGCCGCCGCCGATCCGCCATTGTTGTTGCTGACATGGTGTTTGGTTGCAGCATGTACCTGCCGACGCAGGATGACTCCAACTACGAGTCGAGCTCGCCGGACGGGTCGCACTCGTCGTCGGCGCCGGCGCCGGCGGCCGTGGGCGGGGACGCAGCCGCCGCGGTGGCGGGTAGCGGTGGCGGGATGACGACGATGATGATGGGCGGCGGCGGCGGCGGTGGCGACGACGCCGGTGGCGCGAACAAGAACATCCTCATGGAGCGCGACCGCCGCCGCAAGCTCAACGAGAAGCTCTACGCGCTCCGCAGTGTCGTGCCCAACATCACCAAGGTAAGGGAGAGAGGAGTAGAGGTGTTCGTCCATGGCGGCGACGGCGACATTGCTGACTGACTGCTCGTCGGTGGTTGGGCGCAGATGGACAAGGCGTCGATCATCAAGGACGCGATCGAGTACATCCAGCGCCTGCAGGCGGAGGAGCAGCAGATGCTCCGGGAGGTCGCCGCGCTCGAGTCCGCCGCCGCGGCGAGCGCCGCCCCGGCCGCGGCGAACCCGTTCGCCGGCCTCGGCGCCGACGAGGAACACGAGTACGGCCACCACCACCCCTCGTCGTCGTCGGAGCGGACGAAGAAGGTGAAGCGGGCGCTGTCCGTGTCGTCCATCAGCGACGCCCTGCTCGCCGCGGCGGCGCCGGCGCCGCCGGTGGAGATCCAGGAGCTGCGCGTGTCGGAGGTGGGCGACAGGGTGCTGGTGGTGAGCGTGACGTGCAGCAAGCGCCGCGACGCCATGGCCCGGGTGTGCCGCGCCCTCGAGGAGCTCCGCCTCCGCGTCATCACCGCCAACATCACCTCCGTCGCCGGCTGCCTCATGCACACCCTCTTCGTCGAGGTATAATACAATCTCCATCTCCATTGCTGACGTCACGCACGATCACTGAGCTCCTCTTCCTTTCCTTAGGTTTGACCTTCCAAGTTTGACTTTGACCGTTCACACGCAGTACTACATTTTACTTCCATTTTTAGGTAGAAAAATAACGTTGCGATCACACGCTGCTCCCTTTGCGGCGTCAGTATGTTAGGCCAATCAAATCCTCACCAATCCTAAAGCAACCGTCCCGAATCTCAAAGCATCAGAAAATCCCCTTCTCCCCGCTTTACGAATCCACCTGATTCTTCTTCTTCTGTTCTTCGATTGCAAAAAGCGATTGAAAACCACATGGGATTAATCGGGTGCGCACGAGGGAGAAATCGAACAATTCGATGGATGGATGGATCGCGCACGTGCTTCAGATAATAATTAATGAATTAATTTTTTGGGGGACAAACGGGAGCACTACATCTACATGGGCGTCACATCACGTGCGTGTTTTGGTTGGGGGAAGCCATGGAAAACGATTGGCACGTGTTCGATTGCACGGGAGATGATTTTTTTCCCCTCGTTTTTTTATTTGTTGTGACGTTAAATTCCACACTTTTCTTTAAGCTGATTTGATTACAGATGTGAAGACAACAGTTTTTGGGGGATGTTCTGTGTTTTGTCCTCTTCTAGAAATTAGGTGTTTGATACACATTATTGAGGCCGAGTTAGTTTTTTTTTTTTGGGGATTGAGGCTGAGTTAGTTTGTTGACTTCCACGTGCATGCACGTTTCTTGAACTGTTAAATTTTTAAAAGAAATTATACAAAAATTGTTTTAAATAAATCATAACAATATATTTTTTAAGATTTTTAAAATATATTTAATTAATCATGTGTTAATCCATTACTCTATTTTACGTGCGGAGGGAAGGGGTTCGCAACCTCTTCAAAAGAACAAAACCTTAGCATTGTTAATTTTGGGGTTTTGGCTGAATAAAGTTGTTTCAAATTTCAGGTAGATCACATGGATAGTGTCCAAATGAAGCAGATGGTGGAGGCTGCTCTCTCCCAGCTTGTGGCGACCGGCAGTCCGTTGAGCTCCATGAGCTATTAGTTATGAGCTGGATAGATATATGGAGTCATGCGTTTTGGCCACCTACTTTACCTAGTCTCATTCGCAATAAAGCGCATTTTTATGTATGCTTGGTGATGTTGTTGTTGTCATTTTTGCGACACCCCACTACGTGATGGAGGTGGTTGTTTTCTTGCGAGGCAACGATTTAGTGGCTGGATGATAGATTTAAGTATTTTGGAAATCTTGAGTACGCTGACTTGTTTATGTAGCTATTAATATTGATGAATAATAAGGTGGTCCAGCTTAATGAAAACGAAAATGTGTGAATTACCTCTCTGAATGAACTATTGGGTGAGTGCGAATTGTTCGAAATAATAAATGAGTCTTATACTATTTGAAGATTAATTCTTTAGAAAATCACAAAAACACACATCACGGGATGGCGTGCATAGGATGCTTAGTACCACCTTGTCTGTTATAGGAGATGTAGATCTCCTTATAGAAGAGGGTGCTCTCCTAGCCACTTGAGACACGTGTGGTGAAGAGAACAAGAGAAACACACACGCGCTCACTCGTCTCGCCTGGCTAGGCCGCGATGGAGTCCAGATAAGTTACGCATGACTTATTCGGTTCGGTTACAGGGTGTGGAAGTGCTTCACATGACTACTTGCTATTTGTCGACCACGGCGCCGTCGTCAATGTCCGATACTGTGAATTCTTCCTGCTGTGCAGCTCCAGAACCCTCGGTACGCATTCATCATGTTTTGTATATTCGATCTGCTCTGGCTAGTTTACATGTATAGATCGTATGATGCGATTATGCTAGTATACATGTCCGGTACCGTGAATTCGTCCTGTTGTGCAACTCCAAAACCCTCGGTACGCATTCATCATGTTTTGTATATTCGGTCTGCTCTGTCTAGTTTACATGCATAGATCGTATGATGCGATTATGCAGTATACATGTTCAATGTCATGATTTATTTATGGAATAAATTAAATCTACATGTGCTTATATATTCTAACACGAATTACCCCTTGAACTCAAATACCAGACTTTTACGCTCTCAATTATTCATACTGAATAAATTACCCTCTATCGTTGTTTTGGGCGATTTTGATCAAGAACTTACACACGTGAAATCAACATGACAATCCAATCAACAAAGAAAATAAATATGGACCCACTTGTCATCTATCTCCCTTAAGCCAATCTCCCTCCCCGGCTCTCTTTGGAGGCTGTGGCGGCGCATACACCGATGCCGCCGTTAACTCGAGTTGAGGTGGGAGCAACCGGGACAGGGGTGCGCTTCATGTGGGAGTCATTGCCCTCGCTGATGAGGATGGTGCCGATTGGGTCATTGAAGCCAGCGGCCAATGTCAGAGCTTGTGCGGAGGTGGCTGCAACATCGGGGGAGTCGAACCTCACGTGCAGCCAGCAACAAGTCCACCTCCGTCTCAAGCTTTCTTGCGCTTAAGGATGCTCACAGCTGCCGCCACTCCTCCCAGGCCTCAATTGGCTTGTGCTTCACCTCCTCGGCCTCCGCCGGCATGTGCGTGAGGAGCCCCATATCCGCCGCCGCTCCTCCTCGGCCTCCGCCGGCGCGTGAGTGATTTCGTATTCACCAAATATTTCAGGGGTAATTTGAACTTTTTCCTATTGAAAATGATATTAGTTGCCAATATAAAATGATATTTACAAAAAAAAAGATGAAAATTCACCTATGTTAAAATTCAACAAATACAAAAAAAAAATCAAAGTTCTCACTCCAAGTCAAAATAAATCTATTTTTAGCCTTAGGTGTTAAAACAAGGTGGAGGGTAAATAGAGAAGTACCGCTCATCTATTTCACTACTTAAAAGTGAAGTCCTCGTCCCTCCCCAGATAAAAAACTACCTCCCTCAAAAATCATTATTTCACACGAAAATCAACCTGAAAAACAGGATAGAAGAAAAGGTAAACCCCATAATTTTGATCCATTGCAAAGCATAGTTGTCCTCCAATCCCATATAAAAAACCATGCATCCAAAAAAAATTAACCAATGGAAAAAACTGTACCATGTTCCCCACTCCTTTCCTTCCCTCTCCCAATCTCACATATACTTCGAAAAACCGGTGCATTAAAAAAGAACTGAACCATGTTCTCCAAATCCTGTTTCGAGGGTATAAAATTGTACCACACGTGTATCATATCCTGTTGCAACGCATGATATATAACAATAGGAAAATAGTGGTATTTATGGTTAGGTATGTAAGAGGTTAGCAAGGAGAACTTAACAAATAAAACTCATCAATTTACGAGCTAAAGGTAGGTAGGTTAGATGATAGAAATAAACTTATTTTTGGACTGATGTAGTAGTAAATATCTGTCATTCACAGTGTGCGAAAAAATTGGAAGATATAATATGACTGTTCAGCACATGCCAAAAAACACTTCGTAAATTTTCAGAAAGTTAGAATTTGAGACTTGAGAACATTTTATAAAACAGAGTACTAAAAATATTCAAGTTCTCAATAAAATTCTAAAGTTGTAACTGAAAATTAACTGAAAGTTGTGATTCACAATTTCAGAATATTTTAACAAAAAATAATTACATAGTGAGATGTCTGGACACAATACAGCGTGGTGTGACTCGTAAGTCGTACCATGACTTAACACTTTTCTGGAGCTTGCTAAATGTACTCATGTGTTTGTTTGTGTTTATTGAAATAGACAGTATTATATAGCGTCATTAGTTGGATGACGTCACCAACCTAACTTGAATGCGACAGCGAATTTACCCAGGACGGGTGTACCCGTATTCCATTCTATTCCTCATGTAGTCAAACATTCAAACTTTAAAGTCACAGTTATTCTGTTAAGGTCATTGTTTATCGTTTGCCTTCCCTTTCCAGTACAGATTTAATTCAATCTCTTGAAAATCTGTTAATTTTTGCTTGACTAGAGGGCAAAATGAATCAGCACATTTTAAACCTCTTATTATTAGCACCATCAACTTGAAAACTAGTACTATTTCCAATCAATAATATTTTTTGAGAAATATTTCCAATCAATTTAGTTACACCACACGACCCCAAATGCGTTTTGGATGGTGATTTTACTATTGAAGGTGTTTTTTTGTTAGATTTAATTGGATATTTGGCCTATTTAAATTAAATAAAAAAATCCAAATCCCATTAAATCTTACAAGTCACGTGTGTTTTCGTTCCACATGGGAAATCGAGATAGATTAATCAACTTCGATGGTGGAAATTATTTACACCAATTGTAAAGTTGAAGAGAGACAGGAGGAAAGCACACGCGCTCGTTCGCACAGTTTGTGATGGACAAAACGAATTTACACAATTGGTTGGTTTTGGAGTAAACAATGTCGTTTATATTGCACAACTGTTTTTGTTGGAGTAACCGAACTGTTTATAGTTTTGAAGTAAACAACTAAGAAAGTAGCCCGCGTATTCGCGAGGACATGTACCATATCGTAGGATGCATTTTAGAAACCCATAGGGTTGGTATACCAAAATTGTGATTTTTTTCATGAATTTTCTCCATAGCATTGCTTGATGAATTTAATTGTTATTTATAAAATTACCTACTAAAGATTAGGTTGGTAACTTATGATACTTAAGACGTGACTTTTGAAGTTTCATAGGGAAAGAGAGAAAACTTTAGCTATAAAAGACATTCATATAGAACCATATATAATTAATGATATAATTAATGGCTCTACCGATTTATGTAAAAAATCGATGATTAATTTATTATTTGATGACAAACGTCGAGTGGTCATAGCTACGGATAATTTCTCATAGGATATTATGAATATATCTACAGTATAAGGGTACAAATTAGAGAAAATAATAGAAGTTATGAGAAAAAAGAAATATCTAACCCTTAATTTTTAATTAATTCGGTATATCATTATTTCTAACCATTGCATATGCAGATGATCTAATATATTGTGCATAGTTGAACTAACCAAATTATTCGTCTTCCCTCACCATAGACGGTGGATATGTTAATTCATGCCTCCGGTGGCATGCTCGCACGCATCATCATACCGAGAAGAAAAAAATAATGTCCTGCATGTATAAGGATAATACATGTAACTATCTCATAACCCTCTTTTCATCTTAGAAAAATAAATTCTACACCCAGCATGCTTGTATATCGGGATGCACAGGCTAGCCCTCCAGTTTTTCACTCAATGGGCAGTATGTACCTTTGTTCTAATGATTAGATAATTTAGTAAATAACGTACAAATAAATATCTGAAATCAATTTTTAATAAATAACATACAAATAAGTATTTGAAATCAACTTTTATTAGTAGGATATCCGTAAGGACACCCCTACAGACCCCTCTCCCCTTCTTCTTTTCTTGGTGTATTAGTTGGATTTGAGCAACGTGAGATAGCATTCCCGACAATTCTGTGATGTAGGTATTTTGGGCTATAATTTAATATTTCCTAACCCTTAGCACCGAACGCATCCTAAGATCTTTTATTTATCTTTAAAAAGATCATATCTTTATGAAAGCATTAGGACTAAGTATATATCCTCTACATACATGTTGAGAGATATACTTAAGTTGGTTGTGCGTCATTATGTCCGTTGAAGCTATAATTAAGGTTAATGGTTTGTAGTTATGGGTACATTGATTTTATTAATAAAATAAGGTGGATATTTTGATTTTCCATGAGAACTTTTATGTTTTCTTTTATTATGGATGTGGGTCCAGAATATAATAATTTTATTAGTAGTTAAATATAGATGGTACATATCTTAAACTATTGATTTAATTAAAAAATACAATGGTTCATTCAGATCATAAATTGAATATATAATTAAAAAAGAGTAAATTGCGTCTACGGTACACAAACTTGGTAGGTGGGTGCGATCTAGCGTAACAATTTAAAAAATGATCATTTAGGTGCAACAACTTGGCTAATACGTGCATTCTGGTTAAAAAATCAATATTAGACACCAAACCTTTTAAGCCACGCAGTAAAAAAAAGTAGTCGTCGTTTGTCAATAATCTAATAAGTGTAATGATTGTCAAATAATATTGGTCTAGACGTATTGTATTTGCTTGCTTATAATAATAAAATAAAGTGTCGATTTGAAACCGAAAAATATAATGATCGTTAAAATTAAGTGCATAAAAATTGTTATAACATAATTTCCGAGCGATTCTACTGGTCAAACATATTCAATTGTACTCATGACCAATAATCTAATAGTTATGCTTATAATAGAACAAACAAAATAGGTTGAATCATATGTATGTAATAGTGTTTTGACGAAAATACACTTGATT